TTATTTGTGTTCTACCTATTATTAAATAGATTTAAGCTAGTTTATAATAAAAGGGTTAAATAAAGGAATATAATGAATAAAGGTGGAAAACCTAGCCAGCTGCCTATAGAGTTATAATTAGATTATCTAGGTTAAAGAACATTTTTAGAGTTGAAAAAAGTCTTAATAGGCTTTCCATAGAAAGCCCTTTTTAGGGCTCTTTATTTCAAGGACGTTTATATTAATGATATATTTGACAATGGTTGTATAACAACCGAGAGGTTTTTTTGTGGTTAATGTTTCTATTGCTCTCTAGCAAAAACATACAAGCAAATGAGTAAGTAAATGAGTGTAATATATGGTTGTTACTCTCTGGAGATGTACCTGTTAGCAGCTAGAGTCCAGGCCTGAAGCTTTATCAAGGCAGAAAATGTGATTTGATAAAGCAGCAAAGCATAGTCCTGACAAGTGTTTCATGTGACTGTATTCTGGTTGTTGATTGAAAGAAGACTCTTGTGCTGTAGATGCCAGCCATGTAAGTGGCAAAATTGTGTTGGCTTAGTGCCCAAGCTCTGCATTGAGATTGTTCAAATTTATATCCTGGGTATGCCATTTATTAGCTTTGCCATTTTGCCATGTTTTAGACAGGTTACTTAATCTCTGTGCTTCGGTTTCCTCAGCAATAAAATGGGACCAATAGTAGAATCTATGTCATAGAGTTACTGTGAGAAATAAATGGGTTAGTATATTTAAAGTACTCAGAATACTGACTATACCAAAGTAAATGCTCATATGCTAGTTGTTATTTTATTATTTGTTTTCATAACATAATCATCCTTATTGACCTTGACTCTGTTTTACATAAAAATGTTTTGCTATGTATTGTAGATAAGCTGAGACATCTGTGTATAGTACTGAAACTTTTTCAAAAGTAACTTTAAATATGATCAAATGTAATGCTAGGTTCTTAATAGGATATGCATAAAACATGAAAACATGACTTTGGCTAGAGAGGCAAGAGATAGTAATGGTTCATTTTGGCCACAGAGAAACATCATCATGACTTCTGTATGATGTCTAATTTTGAACAGAAGTATCCTAGTGGATTGTATAACAAAAACAAGATAGTAGCAAAATAAGCCCCAGATCTCTAAATGAGGTAACTATTGTGCAATGTACTTTAGTGTCATCAGAGAGATACTAAATGTGTTTGCCAAAAGTGATTTAGTTTTATCATAGTTAGTATAGAGCTATTCTTTCTGATTAACTGTGGCCAATAGGCTCAGAGACATTTGGGAATATTCTTGAAAGACACTAGATATCCAGTGTAGACATTGATGTTGACATTCCTGTTTTCTGTGATATAAGGGAATACTAATCTAGTTCATTTAGAAACTCTATCTAAATATACAGTTATAAGTTGAAAAGGAAGATGGGATTAAACAAATAATGAAAATTAATCCAGTATCTAATAGCGAATGATGTCAGTTATGAAAGCAATATAAGGGCAGGGATTTTTGTCTTTTGTTAACTACTAATTATTTGTGGCAAACAGCCTAAGTAATTCCTTCCTAAAGTAGTACTTGACATGTAGTACTCAATACATGTCTTTAGAATAAATAAATGAATATTAACCAGATTTTATTTTTTTTTAGACTTCTCATCAGTTGAAGTTGAAACTCAATTCAATGCAAGAACAAATGACGCAGGCCCAGAGTACTTTAAAACAAAAGGAAAAGGAAGAGCAACAACTTCAGGGAAACATAAATGAGCTCAAGCAATTGACTGAACAGAAGAAAAAGCAAATTGAAGCACTCCAAGGAGAAGTTAAAATTGCTATTTCACAGAAGGTAGTGATATGATATTTGTTTACTTTTTATGGGAAGAAAAACCTGGCAATTAAGATAGTAATATGATTAACACAGATGAGTTACAATGTAGCAAAGTTAGTATAAGCTAATAATTTTTCTAAGTTAAATATATGAGAACATTTGATTATATGATTAAATATCTAAGTATGGATTTCCATTTATTATAACCCTTTTTTCAGATAATAAATCATCCTTATTAAGGAAAAATAATCAAGAATAAAAATCACGAAGTGGAATACATTAAAAATATTCAGTAGAGTCAAATTTCATATAGTTATAATTGTTTATTGTTTTAAGTTATATCATAATGATTTCCGTTTCTAAACCTGTTCTAATTTATTATTGAGCATCTGTTTTTTGTTATTAAATATGTTTTAATTTTTGTCCAGACCAAAAGTTAGTAAAAATGGATTGTACTTAATATAAAATATTTGAACAAAATGAGTTTTCCCTCCACTGTTGGTCTGTGTGTATTATTAATAATTGGTCCATGGAGAAGACAACGGTAGAATCCCTGGTATATACAATAAATATGTCATGCCATTTAGAGTTGAATGTCATACTACTAGAGTTAAAAGAATATAAATGAAAACAACCACAAAATATACATTTAATGTTGACTAGTGTTTTTGTAACTATTACTATGCTACTTTACAAGAGTAGACAAATTTGTCTATCCTTTTGTTTGTGGTATATATAACCAAAAGTCAGCGTGTAATTATCGCAGTGCATATT